GTTCTGTGCACCTTTGGCATTTAGTCATGCCGGCCACATGACCACGGAGACATCTTCAGACAGCGCTGGCTCTTCGGCTTTGAAACGGAGATGAGCACTGCCCCCTAGAGTCGGGAACGACTAGCACGTATTTGCGAGGGGAACCTTTAACTTTACCTTATAAAACTCTTATTTTGTTAATTGAAGGCGTCCACGGATGCTACCAGCCCATAGAAATCACTTGCTGTGGGATTCCAGCATTTTGGGTAAGAGGAAGCTGTTCTTAATTCCACTTGTGTGGCTTGTGACCAGTTTTATGCCCTGGCTGTGCTTTCTCCTATTTGAGCCCACCATGAAGTTCCTATTCAGTTGTATTTTCAAGGGCATTTTTTAAATTTTTTTATAAAAACCAAAGAACACCCCACCCCCCATCATTAATTCATCAATTAAATTTGACATCGAGCATTAGTAGGAAAAAGGATGAACAAGAAGAATATGGCAACCAGCTGCACCATCCCTGGTTCACGCTAGTTTTATTTTCGTTCCAATTGTTCCCTGCTGTTTTAAGCTTTTCTCCTCTTTTTGAGCTCTTCTCTTTTTTTTCCCCCTTCCTTTTAACCTACAACAGTCCATTCAGTGATCCGTTCAAAGTTACAACGGCACTGAAAAATCTGACTTATGTCCGTTTTTCACATTAACAACTGTTGCGGTATCCCCATGGCAGTGGTGAAATTCTAGTTAGGAATTCTGATAGGAGCTGGATCAGTGGTGGGTTTCAAAAATTTTTACTACTGGTTCTGTGGGTGTGGCTTGATGGGCGTGGCATGGCTTGATGGGCGTGGCATGGTGGGCATGGCAGGGGAAGGATACTGTAAAATCTCCATTCCTACCCCACTCCAGGGGAAGGTTACTGCAATATCCCCATTTTCTCCTGATCAGCTGGGACTTGGGAGGCAGAGAATAGATAGGGACAGGGCCAGTCAGAATTTTTACTACCGGTTCTCCGAACTACTCAAAATTTCCGCTACCGGTTCTCCAGAACTGGTCAGAACCTGCTGAAACCCACCTCTGAGCTGGATGACCAAGAAATAGTTTTTTGTGTATTAGTGTCCATTTATGAAATTATCCCCCTCCCCCCCGTTTTAGGAAACAGTGAGTTCTAGTCCTGTCTTAGGTATTAAAGCGGGCTGGGTGACTTTGGGCCAATCATCAGGTGACGGGAGTTCTAGTCCCACTTTAGGCATGAAAACCAGTTGGGCGACCTTGGGCCAATCACGAGATTGTGAGTTCTAGTCCCGCCTTAGACATGAAAATTGGCTGGGTGACTTTGGGCTAATCACCAGGTGATGGGGAGTTCTAGTCCCGCCTTAGGCATGAAAACCAGTTGGACGACCTTGAGCCAATCACGAGATTGTGAGTTCTAGTCCCGCCTTATGCATAAAAGTCGGTTGGGTAACCTTGGGCCAATCATCAGGAGACGGTGAGTTCTAGTTCCTTCTTAGGCATAAAAGTCTGCTGGAGGGACTTCGGGCCTGTTCCTCTTTCTCAGCCCAGTCCATCTCACAGGGTTGTTGTTGTGGGGAAAATAGGAATAGTAAGTACACTTGTTGCCTTGAGCTGGCCAAAGCATTTTATATAAAGAAGGTGGGACAAAAATATAATAATGCAGTAGTAATAACAACAAAACGTTGTGAGTTTTTTTGGCTTTTAAACACGATTCTTTCTTTGTTCTTTAACATCCCATAGCGAGACAGATTACATCCTTTGTTTTTGAAACCTTATCGGCTTTGTGGAAGGGTAATAGTTTCCCAGAGAAAAATAAAAATGATGTCATCTAATCTCTCCTCTACCCCCCCCCTCACCTCCCGCCTCCCGGCAACTTTTTGAGAAATGAAACCATTTGAATTAAGCGATCATATCCACGGACTTTATAACAAGTTCAGGGTTCCTCATTTAAATTGCTCTTTTGTGTTACTTGCCGTTTGATATATTTATTTAATTTATAGGGCCACCCAGCTCAACGAGGGACCCCCGAGCAGCGAAATATCTTCAAAACTAAAATAAGAAAGAAAAAAATCCCATCACAAACGCAAAAAGCCAAAAAAAAAAAAAAAAGCTTATTGTTTCAATTTTCTTTTTAATCAGCCACCCACAATCTTGCAATTGAGGTGAGTAAGGGACCAAGCAAATTACATCAAACAAACAAACAAACTTCCATTGGACAAGTTTGCTTCCTGCCCGTTTTAAAGTTTGGTAAGAAACAGACATAACTCTCGCTGCAGTTTCAGGCATCTGCTTCTAATGTGAATTTGCTCCTATTCTCTAGAGACAAAAGAATAATGGGATTTAGAAATGTAGATTGAATTACTACAGGACAGAAATGTGTAATTGAGCTACAAGGCTCTTTTCGCTCCCATTTTTTAGAGGCTGATCCCAGGTGTTTACAGTGGGAGGTGTCAAAAAAGTCAAAATGGTGGCCACCAATTGGAGCCCCTCCGTTTTTTTAAAGGGACACACGCTCTGGCTATTCGTAAATACTTTTCAACTAAGTTGACACATATAGAAAAGAGCAGGACTTCAAAATCATGTGGTTGAAGCCATTTTGATTTCCACCCCCCCCCTTTTATATACCCCTTTGAATGGTTCTGTTTCCGAATGTTCTTTTCTTAAAACCTGTGTTTTATTTAAATGTTTCCTTCAGGTTTGTTGAGGCGTGTATGTAGGTAGCGCGTAGTTTGTACATAAAAGGTGTGTATGTTTAAGTGATTGTCTTAGGCCAATGTTTCTCAAGGGAAGTTTGAAGATGTGTGGACTTCAACTCCCAGAATTCCCAATGCTGGCAGGGGGGAATTCTGGGAGTTGAAGTCCACCCATCTTATTTTTATTTATTTATTTATTTATTATATTTCTATACCGCCTTTCTCCCGTAGGACTCAAGGCGGTGTACAATCAAGAAAAATATATCTTCAAGTGGGCAGACTGGTTTATAGACATATTTTCCTGCATTTTTAAATCATTTTCTGGGCCTCCTTGCTGCATCAAGTCAAAAAGCTTTTACAGTGCAAACACTGTGTTTATTTATTTATTTTTAATAGATAATGATGCTTCTCATTATAATCTGGGATCCTGTTGTCTAAACTACAATCTGTCCCATGGAAGATTTAAAAATAATAATTAGAAAAAAATGTCTAAGCCTGTTCTAACTTAAAAAGGATCCTCTAGTCCGGCCGGGATCCAGTTAGATCTTATGTCAGAATTTGCAAATCCAAAAGAGGAGGTAGCAATCGGGTGGAAAGCCATTCGTTTGGGATTGGATCGAGCGGGCTAGACTCCAGATCTTCTTCCCCCTGCAGGTTGTTCAAGGGGGGGGGGGAAACGGAGCTGGAGAGCAAGTGATCCGACACGGAGACCGAACATTTTTAGGATTTCCTTTGGAAAGACAATTTCCCCATCCGCTTTAGCCGGTGGTGCCTTTTTCTTCCCGGTTGCATTCATCGCCCACCTGCATGGAAACCTCAGGGAGGGAAGGAGGGAGGGAGGGGTGATGGTGGATCGTGTCCCGTCCCCCCCACCTCTTACCTATGTCTTGGAGCACTCAACGGAGGAAGGAACGGAGGAAGGTGCAAGAGAGGCAGCCTTTGGAGCGAAGGGCGCTCCGCACATGCCCAGAGGAACTCTCGCCAAGCCTGCGCTTTCCCCATAAAGCAGTGGTTCTCAACCTGTGGGTCGGGACCCCTTTGTGGGGGGGGTCAAACAACCCTTTCACCGGGGTCGCCTAAAACCATCGGAAAACACATATTTTCAATGGTTTTAGGAGTAATTTTATTTTGGTAATAGTTGGGGGGGGTCACCACCACATGAGGAACCATTAAAGGGTCGCAGCATTAGGAAGGTTGAGACCCACTGCCATAAAGGCTTCCATCGGGGGGTGGGGGAAAAAACAGCATCGATCGCAGAGCCCCCTTTAAATTATAAACTCCCACCATCATCACCACCCTCGCTTGGAAATGCTCTACCGCTCCTCGACCCCGGAAGGAAGGAAGGGAGGGAGGGGGAGAGAAGAAGAAAAAGAAAAAAAAAAAGCACCCGGGGACTGGATCCAGCCGGCTGACCCTCTTCCAACCCCCCCACACCCCCCCCCCAATCCGGGGCAGGCAGGCAAGCAAGCTCAACTTTCCTCCTTCCCGGCTGGCTGCGGAGGGCAGCAGCAGCCCCCCACCCCCCCCCCCCCCCCCCATCTCACCACCCACCCCACCAGCCTCGCTATGGCTTTGAAGCAGCCCCCCACCCCCCAATCTCACCCCCCACCCCCCCACCCTCGCTATGGCTTTGAAGCAGCCCCCCACCCCCAATCTCACCCCCCACCCCCCCACCCTCGCTATGGCTTTGAAGCAGCCCCCCACCCCCCAATCTCACCCCCCACCCCCCCACCCTCGCTATGGCTTTGAAGCAGCCCCCCACCCCCCAATCTCACCCCCCACCCTCCCACCCTCGCTATGGCTTTGAAGCAGCCCCCCACCCCCCAATCTCACCCCCCACCCCCCCACCCTCGCTATGGCTTTGAAGTGTGCATTGCGGACGGACTTTTTTGGGGGGGGGGGAGAAAGTGGATCCCGCAACGGATCCCGCAACGGATCCCGCAGTCACCGAGCGTCGGTGCTGGCTTTCTGGCGACCCCCGCAGCGGTGAAACCCGCCAGCCGGAGGCGAGGCAGGGAAGGAAGGAGGGAGAGAGGCTGCCTGGCTCGGCTCGGCTCGGCTCGCCTTTCCTTTCTTCGCGCTGCCCAACGCTCGCCCCCCCCCATTTTTTTTTTCCTGGAGGGGGGGGGTTGTTGAATCTCCTATCCCTCCCGCCGCCTCTTTCCAACCCCCCCCCCTCCTGCAACCCACCACTTTCTCCAACCAATGACATCACCAGCACCCCCAAAGAGGCCGTCCCAGCATGCAGCGCTGGCGGGCCCGGAGACTGGCTCTGGTTGCCGGTGGAGACGCAGAAGAGGAGGCGGCGGCGGCGGAGGAGGAGGAGGAGGAAGAAGAGGAGGAAGAGAGGAGGAGGAGGAGGCTCGGTCGGGCACCCTTGCAGGTGAGTGCTCGGCGAGGGTCGCCATCCAGATGCTGGGGGTGGGGGGGGGGCGGAGGAGCCCTGCGCCGCCACTTCTTTGCTTGCACCCCCCCACCCCACCCCGGGTGCTGAGTGGGGGGAGTGGGGGGGGGGCTGGAGGTGGTGGGGGGTCGCCCTCCGCAGGAGCCCCCCCCCTCTTTTGCCTCGCTCGCTTTCCCCGGCTGGCTAACCTCCTTGCTTAGATAGAGCAGAGGCTCCCGATCCACCGGTAGACCCCCCCCCCCGCCCCGCCGCGCGACCCTCCCCTCCTTCGGTCCCTTCCCACGACCCCCCCCCCCTTCTCTCTCTCCACCCGCACCCCAGGGGCCTAGGGAATCCCACCCCCCCCCACCGCCCCAAATTCGCCCTTCTTGTCATTCCTTCCCACCCCCATCAACCCCCCCTCACTCTCCCGACCACCCCCCCAATTGGGGAATTCCTCCCTTCCCGCTTCTCATCACCCCCTCCCCCTTTTTCACCTTTCCGATTTCTTCAAGGGGGGGGGGAAGAGAGAGAGAGGGGGGGGGAGAGAGAATCGGAGATCGCCTTCTTTGCCTGCTTCTCTTGGCACCCCCCCCCAACTTTCCCCCCCCACCCCCACCCACAGACCCCTGGCCCTTCTGTTCCAGACGTGGCTGCTTTCTCCTGGGCTTTCTCTCCATGCGGTCCCCCCCCCACCCACCCTTCTTGCACCCCCCCTCCGCCCCCCAGTCCACCCTGCCCTTCATTCCTTGGATCTCGGGGTGTGGGGTGGGGTGTGGGGGGGGTTAATAAATAGATGCAAAGAGAGAAGAGAGCGAAGAGGCAACTTTTCCCCTCCCTTGCAGGTGCAGCAACAGCTTCTGGCTGGACAGATCCCCCCCCACCCCTCAATCTCCTCCTTCCCCTTCCCCGTTTCCCCTACGGGGGCCCCTTTCCACTCAGCTCTCTTGCACTGTGTATTTTCCTGTGCAAAAAAAAAAAGAAAAGAAAGAAAGAAAAAAAAAAAAGGCTGGAATGATGGCGGGGGGGGGGGGAGGAGAGAAGAGAGGGAGAGAGAGAGAAGGAGAGAGAGAGAGAGAGAGAGAATGAAAGAGAAGCAGAGCGGAGGTCAAGTTTGAAGAGAGGATTGGAAGCCCCCCCCCTTCTCTCTCTCTCTCTCCTCGGGAGGGTCTTTCCTACGTTTCCAGAATTACAAGGCAGCCCCCTGTTTCTCCCCCCCCCGCTCCTGGGCCCCTGCACCTTAAAGACACACATTCTTTGTTCTTTTGCATCTCTCTCCCCCAACCCCCCCCCCAACCCCAACCTCCTCATCTTCCCGCCACAATGCACACTTTGTGGGAGCTCTACATGGTGTATGTGTGTGTGTGTGTGTGAGGGGGGGGGGGAGAGGATGGACCACTGCAGTCCCTCCTCCCAGCGGATCAGGTAGGTGAGCAGGGTGGGGTGGCTGGCAGGCAGGCAGGCAGTGCAGATAATGGGAAGGTCTGCCAAGGAAGGAAGTTGAGGCTGTATAAAGGCGAAGAGGGCAGTCAGGTTCATTATTATTATTATTATTATTTTAAAGAATCATTTATTTAATTCTCCTCTCCGGCCTCCCCCCCCCACCTCTCTCTCTTGGAGCAGAAACAGTCTGGAGTAAATGGGGGAGGGGGTAGAGAGAGGAGAGGGGGGGTTCTGCTTGGATTTTCCTTTAAGGAAGTTCCCCAAAAACTGTGCCCACGATTGCAGTCTTAAGGCTCATGCAGTCTAAGGCTCAGCACGTCTGAACCCTTTCCCCCCCAACCCCCTGATGCCCTCCTGCCTGTTTTCAGTCATAAACCGGGGTGCTCTGCGTGAACCAAAATTTGAGATTTGCAAAGAAAACGGTCCTTTCCCCCCCCCCCATCCCGCCTGCCCTTCCCCACCACCCGAGGGAGTAGTAAATCAGAGATAGGTGCATGGATGGAAGGATCCTTCCTGGACTGCGGTGGGGAAGAAAGAGATGGGGGTGGAGAAACGGGGAAGCAAATAAGGTTCCCCTTCCTTTATATAGGAGAGTTAGGTTGGGAGGGGGGTGGATTATCAAGGGGGGGGGTGGAGAGGAAAGAGGGTCTCGGAATCGGGGCCTTAAAAAGATTTTAATATGATGGTTGCAAAGGAATTCGAGCAATTACAGGTTATTATCTGATTATGCCTTTGACCTCCTGAGTGACAGACCATTGGGATGCTGGTTTTTTTTTTTTAAAAAAAAAAAGGGGGGGCAAGGGGGATTAATGCAGGCAGGGGTGATTCTTTCTCTCTCTCTCTCTCTCTCAAACCTCCCCCCCCACTCGTATTTTTGCTTGTCTTCTCTCCCTCTGTCCCTGAATTGTGCTTGCCATTCCATTGCCCGTGTAATTTATTCATCCCAGGATGCACCTCTCTGCAGTTGCAGGCAGGAATGGGGGAGGGCGGGCAGAGGAGCTCCGTTCTCTCCCCCCCACACACACACACCTCCTCCCCATCTCCAATGACTGTACATTTTGCTGCTACTTGTTGCCCCTAACCTGCCCTTCTTTAGAATAGGAGAAGGGAGCCGGGAGGGGATGGGAGGGGGTGCCTGGGGAGGCTGGGGATATCGACCTTAAGGGCTGAGATTTAGGAGGAGTTGAGTGCGACAGGAGAGGAGGAGGAAGAAGAGGAGGAGGAGGAGCCCAGGAAAAAAAAAAAGAGAGAGAGAGAGAGAGAGAGAAACAGCAGCGATTGCTTGGGGTTCAAATTGGCGGGGTGGGGGGGGCAGGGTTGTAGGTTTTTCAGAGTGTGTGTGTGTGTGTGTGTGTGTGTGTTGACTGGAACCTGGCAGACTGAATGATCTCAGAAGGCAAGAGAGGGCAGGCAGGCACAGCGTGGGGCCGGAGAGCGTGACTTTAGGATAAAGCTATAGGACGGCTGAAATGGGGTGGGCCAGGGTTCAGATGTGGCGGGGAAGATGAGCTGCACAAAATCTCCGCTTCCAAAAATGCAGCCCATCCCTCCGTCGTAACTTAAGATCAGGTAAAGGATTCACCGGTCTTAATTATGTCGGCTTTTATTTTTTCCCCCCTTCCTTTTCTTTTCCCAAGAGCAACTAAGAAGGAGAGAGAGAGAGAGAGAGAGAGATGCAGCACTCAGAGGGTTAACGTCTGGCGGGGCTCCTTGGTGGGGCTAGGGCAGGTCTGGAATTAAAGGGTCAAGGGGGAGAGACCCAGCTGCAGCCTGTCTGTGAAGCCAGACAGGGTCAGAGGTCACGGGCGAGGTCAGGGGTCTCTCTCCGCGTAGCCTCCATTCATTGGCAGAGTTTTCGCCTCGGCATAAATCAGTTTGTCTAGGAGGAGAGCAAGGTCTAGGGGCTATAAACGGGGAGGGGGAGCCCTGCACCATGCTGGTAGCGGCTGGAGACGCCGTCGCTTTCTCAGGCCCCTTTATGTAACGAAACCTTGCTCTTCTCCTGCCCAGAAGCTTGGCTGCTCCCCAACGGCCTCTCCTTTCCCCCCCCCCTTTTTCCTTCCTTCCCTTCCCATAGAGAGGCAAACGTGTTACATGGGCACACGCATGCACGCACAATACGGCAGACATGGCATGGCATGCACCCTCTGGAAAGGGAACCCGTGTTCATAAACATATCTGCAGTCCAAGGCTACAGAGGCATATGTTCTTCATCAGAGGTGCCAGCTCCTCCGCGCATGCGTGAGTTTGTGCACAGACAGCCTCTGCTCAAATGTTCCAGGGTGGGGCATCATCCAGCAGAGCAAGGGACATCGTCTTCGGGCTCCCCACCCTCGGGAATCTGTCTTGCACAGTCACTTTGGAGGAGAACATCTCCCGCGTCATGAGGACCTTACCCCAGTTAGGAACAAATGATGATCTAGGTCTCTTAACCTCATTCCTTCAGACCCGGTTGGGGCTCCTAACGGCAGCATTTCCTATCTCTGTATGCGCCACGCAGGTGTTCCTTGGCATTCTCCTAGAGTTCTCTCGGGGCTCCTCTCTCTGACCATCGCTAGTGTGAATTTCACCCTCTTTGTGTTGGCTTCCATCATTGGTTAACAGAAATGCAGACTGTCCCCTTAAACCTTGACTTAACATCTTCCCATCAGCTCCTTTTAGGTCAGAAAAGCCTTGAAAGCTCAGACTAAGTGGCCTTCATCCCCCCTCCCCTTTCTCTTTTTTTGGAGATAGCAGACATCTGGCGAGGAATGGGGAGGTGGAGGAGACGTACAGAACGGCCGTAAGCTTTAAAATATTTTTTTTATGCAGTTAGAAAAGGCAGCTTTATAAAAAAAAATAATAATAATACTTCTAGGTCCACATCCTTGCCCCACCCAGAAGGAGTTTAGAGCAGTGACGGATAACCAAAATGATTGTTCTCCCTATCCGAGGTGATGACGGTTCCCTGTATCCAGCCCTTTTTAGAGGAATAAGGTATACTTGTCTGCTGAAAGTTAAAAAAATATGATCTCTGGCATCTTTCGTCTTTAATGCAGATGGTGAATGGGGATTAGTTTGGATTAAAATGCAATAACTGCCCCCGTCCCCCGCCTTAAAGGTAGCATGTTCTCCTGTCGGGTTTAACAGTTGATGTATTGATGCGTGTGCGTGAGTCTACATATATGCATTACTTATTGAAACCTAAGCACTAATTTATCTCTGCTCATATATATATATAATTTGATTGGTATGTTTGTATAAGCTTCCTTGTTACTTAATGCTTTGAGGCCAGATCTTGGGCACGGGAAATTATAACTGAGTTAAGAGAGAAGATGTGCTTTGTACGCAGAGGGTATGCGTTTATGTCAGGCTTTGGAGAAGATACGTTTTGGGACCCTCCAACAACAGAGGTGGTTTGCTGGAGGTTTTGTAAAGCATGCACATAGAGTCGCTTTTTTTCCCCCCTGACCTAGAGAAATACAAGCTTGCAGTCTTAGATTGTCTCAGCGGTGCCTCCACCCCTGCTTTCGTGCTCATCATAGAGCCAGAACTGGACCTCCTGATCAGCTCTACAACGGGGTTGTATATGCATGTGTGAAACGAGTTAAGGAGAATATTGCAACCAAGTAGGAACCTGGGGGTGGGAGGTAGGAGGAGAAGATTGGAAGGAAGAGAAATATTGCACCAGTCTCATCACCTTGCCTGTTCTCCTTCTCCTCCTCCTCCTCCTCCTCCTCCTCTTCATCATCCCTTTGCTCTCTCTCAGTCTCCCTACCTTTTCTTTTAAGTTTCCCAGATCCCTGGCCCATATCTGTGCTTAGGGAAGATGGGACAAAAGCTCTCACTCAGTGGAAGGTGCCAAGGGGTTGTTTCATATTTCTCTTTGTTGCCAGCGCAGCCACCATCGATGCCTTCTGGATCTGTGAAGCTACAGTGCCAGTTATTTCTAGCCCCCCCTCCCCCCCCGGTCATGTGGGTGACGGTTGCAAAAATGGGAGTTTTCTAATCTATTCTAGCTCGTATTAGGAAGATTACTTGGAGACCTGGCAAAAAGAGGGGAGATTTCAGAGATTTAAGGAACAGGGTTGCCTTATCTCATGGCCATGAGCTGAAGCTAGAGCCCCACAGCCGAAGAAATATATTTTGTCTGTATCTCTCTGTTGAAATCTGTCCCATGTCCGAACTTAATGGCTGGCGGGCAATGGCACGCTGCCTCCGTTTCCCCATCTGGGCTGAAACGCGGACATTGCTGTAATGCATGTCCATCAATTGTTTCAGTTCAGCCATCTCCTCGTCTCCACCTTTGTCTCCCCATTCACACCCATCGCAACCGAGAGACTGCCTTCTGTGTCTCCCTATTCACCCACCTCCCTTATAGGGAACTGATCCCTTTCGGCGTCTTCTAACTAGGAGTCATCGTCCCCCCATCTCCCACTCAGCCATCCTTATTCATTCTTTAGCCTCCGCCGTGCGATGCCTTCAACCTTCTACTGTTGTCGTTTTTTTTTTTTATCCATCCTTGAGCCTACGATCTCACCTTGCTTCCTCATCCGCCTGTAGTACTCATCCATTTCACCACTGCACCATTTTCCGCCAGGTTTTATATACTCCGTTTCTGCCAGCTCATGCCAGACGTTAGCCAGATGAGGTCTGCAGCATGAACCCCCCCCCTCTCCATCTTGCCCTATCTTGTCTCTTCTTTCTGCTTGTTCCCATCTTCCTTGCTTGCACACCCTTCGGGATGCCTCTTCACGTCCCTGGTGTTAGCACAACCGTGAATAGAGAGTGTATCTGCTTCTAGTTTTTAAACCCTCCCTGGCCTGGTTTCATACTGATAGAAAGACAGAAGTGGGAAGAGAGAATATGCATAACTGCTGTAGAACTGTTATGGGTTTCCCTTCTTTCTTCCCCCCCAAAAGTTGGTGATTTGTAGGTTGCAGTTCCATTTTAGGGGAGAAAAACAATTTCCTCCTCTTACAATAAATATCAGTATAAGTACTGGAAGAAATGGCCCTAAAAGAGAAGGCCAAAAGGTCGATCTCTTCTTATTAATAAACATTGTTTTAATATTAGTCCTCATGTTTGCAAAGGCTGCCAGAGCTTCTCTTCCTTTTTATATTCCTACCTACCGTCTGGGAGTTGCAGGGAAGAAACAATTTAATTGTTGGGCCCTGTCTGCTTATATTATAAAACCTCTCTGCGAGGAGAAGGCTATCTTAAGGATGCCAGATTGTTCCTTTTCTCTCTGGTGGTCCCCAGTTTAGTCCCAAGCACCAGCTTTTTTTTCCCCTCAAAGCTTTCTTGCAAAATAAAAAAGGACCTTAATTGGAAAGGTGGCTGTGGCTGTTCCTGAGCTTGGTAGAGATGCCAAAGTGTTTCTAACTGGAAATTGGAGTTTTTATGGTTGTCTGAAAAAACTGAAGAGGAGGTAATCTGGGGCAAGGGAAAATACTGTAATTAGCAAAGCATAGTCTGGGGTATATATTAATATGATTAGGGGTGTCTAATAAGACTTCCAGTTTTTCTTCTCTGTTTGGGCCAATACCACTGTTAATAGCAAAAGCACTAAGACTTATATACCACTTTTACAGTGCTTTACAGCCCTCTCTAAGCGGTTTACAGAGTCAGCTTATTGCCCCCAACAATCTGGGCCCTCATTTTACCAACCTTGGAAGGATCGAAGGCTGAGTCAACCTTGAGCCTGGTGAGATTCGAACTGCCAAATTGCAGGTAGCCGGCAGTCAATGATGCTAAGCATGGAACCAGATGGCAGAGACGTTCTCTTGAAACAGGACTTATTGGGGTGCTTTCTTCTGCAGATGCCCTCTTTCCCCTCCTTTGTTCTCCAGATGTGTTGGGCTCCTACACAGCATTCCCAACTTTCAGCCGTCTTGGCAAGGAATGTGGGCTCCAATAACGCTTATGGAAAGCAATGCTAAGAAAAGATGGCATATAACGGTTTTGGTCATGGGGAAGCAGAGGAAACAGACTGCTTGGTTCTATAGACATCAGATGTCTTGTTACAAGCATGGAGTTCCAGCATTGGTGTGATCACTGCATCGCCAGTGCCTGCTCATGTTGGTGTCATTACCTGTTGATGTGGATGAGTTTCCTACACTGGCTAAACATACACACCAGGAAGGCTCCAGGCTCTGTTTCAAGCCATCCCATCCAGTTATTATTAAAGGAGCTGGTTAATACCTGTGGAGAAAGGATTCCCTTGCTTGAGCTTAGCTCACACAATGCCCGGTTTCATACCTCATGCTATGCCAGAAGGGGTTGTTTGCGTTTCAATCTGTCTGCTCCACATACGTAGCTATTGTGGTTTATAATCCACAGTTTATGACTTAGCAAGTTGTGTGCATTTGGCTAATTGTGATTTATTCTGCAAACAATGGTTTGGCAAGCTGCAGTGCGGGGCCATCCATAAACCTCTCTTGCCTTAAAAACAACAACAACAATATGGCTTTTCTGATGAAGAGACTTTTTGCTCAGTTTTCTAAAAAATTTGAACCAAGGTTCCCATCATAATTTTGTTTCCTCCACTGGCAGCTAGCTAACTAATGTTGTCTTCAAAACTGAGTGGTGAGATGGCATTGTTTTCTGGACAGAAAGAGGAAAAAAGAGCCTTATTGTCTGAATAATTTGCAGAAGAGTTGGACATTGGTACTGGCGCCTTATTTCCCATAAGCCAGGTCAGCCTAGTTAAATAGTAGTTAAATAGTCGGCCTAGTTTTTAAAAAAAGCCACAGGATTTTGAATGTAGAAATTGCCATTAACATTAAAATATTGGTAGAGCAGAGGCATCCAGCCTTGGCAACTTTAAGGCCTGTGGACTTCAACTCCCAGAATTCTTCTTGGCTGGCTGGGGAATTCTGGGAGTTGAAGTCCACAAGTCTTAAAAGTTGCCAAGGTTGGAGAACCCTGCTCTATAGCATTCTAGTCAAAATCCAGATTCTTGTGAAGCCGAGAACAAAATCATAGCTGGATATGGGTTTTCTTAGTATACTTCGTTTGAAATAGCATCCTCCTGCCCAGAGTAGGGAGATTGTGTGGGAAGATTTTAAAAGTCAGAATCCACATTTATAAGAAAAATATTCTGGTCTCAGCCTCTCTCGTAAGATCTGAGAAAGCAACAGGGTTTATATGCACCAAGCCATATTGTACCATACCAATACAGAATATATGTAGTTCAGAGTTCAATTGTGGAGTCCTTGATGCTCTCTGAACTTGGTTATTTGCTTGCAGACACATCATTAACCTGATAGGTAACATGACGGTGATGTTATTTGGTCAGGTAATGAGACATCTGAAAACAAGAACAACCAAGGTCAGAGAGTACCAAAGATTCCACAAGCCATACCATGTTTGGCTTGGCTTTCATTGAGCATAGCAACGGTTGGGAAACCAGGATTTAGGGTTTAGCATGTTGTGCGAACTCAGGTGAATCGTGGCATATTCTGCAAACCATGACTATACCAAACATGGCTTAGCGTAGTATGTGGATTGGGAAAATGCTATGAGACTGCTCTATGGGTGATGTAAGCACAATAGTGTGAACTTCCCATGCTCATGCGCAATGTATTGCACAGCGAGTGTCAAAAAGCAAAGTGGTAGGGTGGGCCTTTTTTTGGGGGGGGGGGCTCTGGTGACATTTGATTAATTTCTTATGCAATTTTATTTACCCCCTGAAACTCAGTGGATTCTGGGCGGCCTTACCGAATTTTAAAAGAGTGGAAATCAGAACAACAGTCAATTCGGTAACCAAACCTATAGTCTCCTGTCCAGTTTGAGTATAAGAAAATGGCTAACGTGGGTCGAATCAATAAGCCAAGGTGCGGATTAGGTGGAATTAACCAGGTGGATTTTAATGTGCGGAAGATCTATATTTGAATAGGGAGGAAGGTGCAGAATTTCTGTCTCGCATTTGCAATAAATAGGGAAGTGTTTGGTATTCCTTGCCACATTGCTATCCCTTGTCCTGCTCTAGGCTC